ATAAGAGGGGAAAACGAGGAGAAAGGAAGAAAACAAAGACCAATATCATTGTTGTCTCTGGAAGCAGGGTCTGTTACTTAAATTCGAATTTGTAACGAAGCATCATTACTCCCGATAAATTGGTTATAATTGGCACAAAGAATTTAACGCCCTAACTGACATTATTGGGAAATCTTAAAGTCATTTTACCTAACACCCAGTCCACTTGATAAAAAATTGTTTTACTTTATGTTATGAATTATTACATGAATATTACTCCGATATGTAGTATATTGTATTCTTCACGGAGTCGTAGGTTCAGAACTTACTTACTTTACTTTTTTCTTCCGCTTGTAGCCGTTGATGTCGCGGGGAGACATAGGCGTCTGTCTGCAGCAAGGGCCTGTAGGAGGGACATCCCGTTAGCTCTGAGGGTGTCTGCCACAGATTCACTTCATCTTCGCCTTGGTCTTCCTCTGACTTTCCATCCAGAATATGTAATGTTGTATGCTCTCAGAGCTGGATGGTTTGAGGGCATACGTGTGAGGTGTCCGAACAACTTGACCTGTTGTTTTTCAACGTGTGGTAGGACTGGTGTTGCTTCTACTGTGTCTCTTATGAATTCATTTTTTTGTATTTTGTCTCTTCTTGTTTCGCTGACCGCTCTTCTTAAACATTTCATCTCGCACGTGACCAATTTCCTCTCTAGGGCTTTAGATAGGGACCATGTATGGCACTGGTATGTGAGTGTTGGAAGGAAAATAGCGTTGATGAGATTCGCCTTGGTGCTCATGGGGATATTGGGATATTTCAGGAGAGGGCCAAGTTGATAGCTGACTGCGTTGGCGTTCTGGCATCTAGTCTGTATTTCTGGATCTGATTTTCCATTTTCTGTGAAAATGCCCAAGTATTTGAATTCGCTGCTTTGTTTAAGTTGGGATCCATTGACGTTGATATTCACTTTGTCTGGTCTCCTGCTAATTGTCATGACTTCGGTCTTGCTAATACTGATCTTCATGTCATATTTCTCGCAGAATGTCGGGGATAAAATCATTGATGCTAGCCCAACTCCACTGAGATAGAAGTCCGTCCCCTGTTCCAAGAAATGGTCCATGAAGAGGAGGGATATTTGTTGTTTTTAAAAGATACTTAAACATCATTCCACAGAAAATACCATTATTTAAAAACACTGATTGTTGTAAAATCAGTACGGTATACATAACATCAAAATAATATTATATCCCCATCCTATATCTTCATCTATCGACCACCATCTAGCTGGAGAAACTTAGGCCTACTGCTGGAACTTACAGCATGTCGGAATTCCAGGACATATTAGGCTTGCATACCACCAAGACGGCAATCTATAAAATATATTAACGGGCTTTAATTTACATTTTGAAGACTCCCTAGACGGAAATACATCTTGCCCTCTTTAACTCCCAGTGGAGCATAGGCCATCAACATTTCTCCAGCGAAGCCTGTCCCGTGTACCCTTTCTTAGCTGTTTCCATGATGCCCCCGCCTTTCTCAGGTCCGCTTGTACCGCTCTCCTCCATCTCATCTTTGGTCTTCCTTTCTTACGTTTTCCTTGGGGATTCCACGTCAAAGCCTGTCTGATGATGCTTGTCGAGGGTCTCCTCAGGGTGTGCCCAATCCATTTTAATTTCTTCACCTGTATGTTTTCCTTTACTGGCCTTGGCTTGTTCCCTCCCACAGTTGAGCATTTGTGCCTCGATCGTACCACTTGTTCCCCACTATTCTTCTTAGACATCCATTTATGAAGCTCTGCAGTTCCCTTGCTGCTGATGCTGTGAGCCTCCATGTCTCCAAACCATACAATAGAACAGAAATACATGTGGACATATAATCTATAATCATAAATCTTTTCTGGGGACTCGGGTCAGTCCATGGGCCAACACGGGCCTGTACCGACTCCTAATGGTTGAAGCCATGACGTTATGTGCAACAAAAACGATTTGGATTTATTTTCAGTAGGAAGAACCCTAACCTTTACCAACATTTTAGTAATGCTGGTTACTTGGAACATTCACGAGGGAGAGCATTTGTGCCAGTGTGTCTCTTTGTACACATGTGTTCCGAGAAAGGGTGTGGTGTGGGTTGCATGAGTATG